TAAGGAGTTTAGGCTATAGTTCATTGGACAAAATGCCTTGTCGCGGTCAAGTGGGCCGTGGATGTGCGCACCGTGCGCGTGATCACCTCGGTTCAGTTGTTGCAAGAATTGAAATGTAGAGCTGGCAGGCAAGAATGTTGTGGTGGCATCCAGAGCGAAGAGGCGAAGGGGTTCTCTTCTGTTTCCACATCCACAGCGGGCACTCAGCCAGAGCACCATGGTCCGCCGCGTGATGGCTTGATGGAGCAACCTAGCCAAGTATATAAAGGGGGAGTGAGAGAACGCTCGGGTCGAGAGAATTCGCTAGAGCAGATGAGGGCAGCACTCGTGTAAAGGGGACACTCGCCTCGGTCGCACTGCCTGCCTCGCCTGCCTCCTGCTTGTGCAACCTGATAGACAACAGCTCACTCGGCTTGCTGCCGCCGTTTCCGAGGACTCGGAAGACATGAGAGGGCGGCAAAGGCGCTAACAGCGAAGCGCCGCCTGAATTTCATGCATCATGGACAGGAATCTGTAGAAGCCAAGACATACTGAGCCGCTGGCTGCAATTCCCGAAAAGCTCAACAGCTATGATGGAATTGAGCCACAGCAAGCGAACGTGCAGTCACGTGATTTTCTGCTGCGAGCACATGCCTGGCTATGGACTTGGGTTTATCCATCAATGCGAAGGTGTTCCTTGGCATGTTTGTAGCCACTTGTCACTCTCACAGTTACCCACACCTCTTCGGCCCACAGCATAGATCGAAAAAAGCACACGTCAAAGTAAGCAACCTTCTGTCTGCTCCATTCTGCCCGTTTCTGGAAGTACCCGTTTGCTGCTTCCAATCTAGTCTGACCTATGCCCTTGCCCCCTCTACCTGAGCTGGGCATGTAAGCTGCAACAACGTTTAGCTGCTTAGCTGACTCCCTCCGGTTCAATCAGGCTGAATCACGTCCCCACCTCTTCGGTCAGTCGCCTGTCAAAGTCCTGTGCTCGGGCCAAACTTGTCAAGGCAAGCTCAGAGGCTCTCGGGCACAAGAAGATAAAATGAAGACGAAGAGGAAGAGACGAAGATGAACAAAAATCATCTGGTGCAAGAAGTGTCCTGCGTGGCTTGCCACAGTCTCCTGAGAAGCAAAGTCTTCGCAGAAGACACCATGCTGAGTTTGTCTCCACGGTCCTTTCCAACTCCTCTAGCTTGTCTTCGATCTTCATGTCTACCCCTGATCAGACAACATCTGTGGTGAGCGCTACCTGGGTTCACACAGCCAAGCACCCTGCTGGAGCTCGACACGCTTTTTGCGTTGGGGGAGCCATGCGATAGCACGGAGGCAGCACCACCTGATCCAGCAGCGCTGGGAGCCAGAATTCTGATGCAGTTTGGTGGTCATTGCTATCAGCAGAGGCAAGCACGCTTCAAAGATGAAGCGTTGGCCTTGCAACCAGAAATAATTTGTTGGCAGATGTTTTGCAAACTGGATATGGATCTTAGATTGGTGCCAGCTGATCCAGCTGCTGCCCCCGCCGTTCCTGCACACGAGCCCGCAGCTGGCAATTACGCGTCTACCAAACATCTGATCCAGAATCCAATCCAAATGCAGCACTACCAAAGGATATCTCTGTGTGGTAAGGGTATCCAGGGCTCTTAGATACCATTGTCCTGCGCTGAAACTGCTTCGGCAGAACCTCATGCACTCACTTGAAACAGAGAACTGGAAGGATCTGGAAGGAAGCGCTTGCCGGCCGACTGGTGCATCTCAGCAATCCACGGCTGATGCTTCTGCTTACGGAGTCCACTCGCTTCTGCACCTGAACATCAGGCACTATTTGTTGGCCTTGGCACTGATCACCAGCATATGCGAGCCCGCGCCCCGTCCACACGCTGCTCCAACTCCTCCATGGTAGGTCATACAATGTGCTCTGCTTAGGGCTTAGGGGGGAAAGAATCCGCGCCTCAAGCTGATGGACCAAATCGCGCACCGATGTTCGATGCCTGTATGCCAGGCAGAAAGTCCTCTCTTTGCTGAATCGAGCTCAGCTGAGTTCCGCTCTGTCGCAGGCGTTGCTCTTGCCGCCGTCCAAGCCTTGCTTGCATCCCCTCCACACATCACCTGCCTCTTTGCGAGACTTAATCTATCAGCATATAACATCAAAGTTGCCTTCAAGCAGCAGGTTTCTGTGATTAAAGCTGTTAGCTGTAACATTTTGCAACACGCGTCCCCTAATGCAAAAACCTGCCGCACACAAATTTTCCAGATGCTTCCCTCAAAACTGCTCAAGATGCGTAAAGCCATGGACGTCTCCGGGGAGCTTGCGTGGTGGCGGCATCCAGCTGCTTCTTAAGGTCCGCTAGCTCTGCTTGCTGCTCCAGCGCGTTCACCTCAGGAATGGTTTCGGGTTTAGG